AGTCCCTCTGAGACCACCCCCCTTCCTTTCCTTTCTCCAGTTCTCGGTGGGGAAGGATCGTCGCTCAAGCATTTCAGGGTCATCATTTACCTCCTTCCTTTGCTTGAGGCTCTGATTCCATCTTCAAGAAAACAAGAGGTCAGTGGACTTGGGCTCCGTTGGCCTTGGGTAGATGAACATTCTTGGGATGTCACCAAATGCTCTGAGGTTGCTTCCTCAGTCAAGAAAATGATACCCACCTCAGGGAATTTGGGGGGATTCATTGAGACAATGTAAAAAAGTTGACCAGAAGTTAAAAAATGTTTATTATGTATAAGCATCAATCAAAATCTCTCTTGTGTCTCTCCCAGCATCAGCCCTTTCATGGAACAAAGGGAGTATCTGCTCCAGTGTCTGGTGGCAGAGTGACGAGAGACGGCAGCTTGGGAGACTCAGAGACTCTCAGGAGAACTGTCTAGCACGAGAAAAGATAAGGTTTATTCTCAAGGGACAAACCCAAAGTACATAAGAGCATTAAAAAAAGGAAAAGACATTCATGGGTGAAAGATTCATAATGGGATTATTGATTCAAACACAGGTCCTTTCTCTTTGCATTTTCCATCCTCCCTCCTCCCTTCAAAAATTGTTGCTTGTGGCTGGGTAGCGACTCGGGCAGGCAGCTTATAGGGCGGAATGACGGCTGCAGCTGGTGCTAAAATGACCGGCAACCAGGCAGAGGAAGTAGAAAAATTCTTTCAACCCTAATCTCCCTCCCTGAACCCCAGTGTCTTATTTGTAACAAGGGGACAGAACTCCTGACCTCTCAGAGAAGTTGAGTGGATTACATGCAATAAGAGGGCTGGCACCCATTAATAATCGTAGGAAGAGTCATGATGGATTGAGTCCCCAGGGCCAGGCACCATGGTAAATGCTTTAAAATATCATCTTCTTCAATCTCAGTCCCAAACTCCGTGAAGATCAGGACTAGATCTGTCTTGTTCCTTACCACATTGCAGATCACGAGAACAATATCCTTTCAAATGACAATGCAAATAACACTCAAAGAACCTCATTTTGTACCATTTTCAGCACTGTACATTTCTAATTTTCATGACAATTGTAAGGGAGAAGTACTATCGCTATCCCCATTTTACGGATAAGAAAATTGAGGCACAGAGGGGCACTGAGTGGTTGGATGACTTTCTCAAGGTCAATAAGAAAGTGCTAGAACAGGAGTGTGAAACCAGCAGTTAGGCTCTAGAGTCCATGCCCTTGACCTCTGTGCTAACTGGGAGTCAGAGGATGCTCACAAGTCCAGTGTCAGATTGTGTTATAGGTAAAGCACTCTGAGGTAAGAAGGAAGTTAAGTGATTGACTCAAAACCTCTGAGCTGTGTACAGCAAAAGAGACATTAACCAAAACAAAGAGACACCCTACTGACTGGGAGAAAATTTTTGCACTCCATACAACTGATGGAGTTGGGACCCATCACAAAGATCTACAAAGAACTCATACAACCCAACAAAAACAAAGTAAACAAGCCAGTCAAAAAATGGGCAGAAGAGCTAAAAAGACACTTCTCTAAAGAAGAAATGCAAATGGCCAACATTATGTGAAAAAATGTTCAACGTCCCTTATAATCAGGGAAATACAAATCAAAACCACAATGTGATACCACCTGATACCAGTGAGAATGGCACATATTAGAAAAACAGTGTTGGCAAGAATGTGGAGATAAGGGAACTCTCCTACACTGCTGGTGGGAATGCAAACTGGTCCAACCACTATGGAAAACTGTGTGGAGGTTCCTCAAACTACTGGAAGTGGAGCTACCACATGACCCAGCAATTCTACTCCTAGGAATCTACCCAAAGAACAACCCCAAAAACATTATTCAAAAGGATACCTGTACCCCTATGCTTATTGCAGCACTATTTACAATAGGTAAGAGATAGAAACAACCCAAATGCCCCAAAATAAATGACTGGATCAAGAAGATGTGTATATACACAACAGAATACTATTCAGCAATCAAAAAAGATAAACTTGTGCCATTCTCAGCAACATGGATGGAGCTAGAAGGGATTATGCTCAGTGAAATAAGCCAGAAGGAAAAAGAAAAATATTGGATGGTTTCACTTACAGGAGGAGTGTAGGGGGACCAAATAAGGGAGCAGGGGGGAAATAATAACAATAAAAAAAAATAGAGAGGCAACTATAACTCAGAGACATTCTGCGGGGTTGGGGGGTAGAGGGATCAAAACGGGGGACAAAGAGCACAAGGGACTATGGCAATGCTGCACGGGTGAATGGGTGGTGGAAATTCTATGGGGAGTATACCTGAGAGGAGAAAGCAAACAGCATGCAAAAATGAACAATGATATAATATATATATATATATATATATATATATATATGTATGTATCCCACAGAGCTGTATGCAGTAGACCTGGGGTTCTGTTCCAGTGTGGCCAAGTTAAATGCCTCTAAAAGGGTACTCCTCATCCTCCCACCTTAACGCAACTCCAAGGGCCAACCTTTCCCTAAGTGTCTCAAGCCTGGTGTGGCCTGTTGAGTAGTTAAGATGCAAAAACAATTCCCCAACATTCAGACAGCTCCCCCAGCCAGCAGTCTGTGGAAAGTTCTGTTCTGAGGGTGAGACTGGCTGACGGATGCTGGGCCCTCTAACCACCTTTAGCCTCTGTAAGGGTGCCTTTCGGAGGCCTATGGCTCCCTCCTCCCTGGCTCCTGCCTCCCAGGGCAGAATGTAACTGTCTCCCTGGGAGTTGGGAACTAGCAGCTTCAGACTGGGTTTGGTCAAGAGGTTTTTCATCTTCATCTCCTGGCAAGAGTAGTGCTTCCATCACTCACACTTGTTTTCCATCACTCATGTCCTTGCCCATCGGCTGGCATCTGGCTCATCGTGGAGGTCCTGTGATAAGTCAGGGACATGACAGATGCCATTAATATAACACCACCATTCATCCTCCAGGGTAGGCTGGCATGAAGAGGCAGCCGAGAGAGGGATGGAGTCAAGAAAGCACAATTTTGGACACCAGATTCATTTGAGGTTGAGACTGGCCTCTACTGCTTACTAGTTGGTAGCCTGGGACAAGTTACCTCATCTCTCCATTCATAAAATGGAGATAAGACTTTTCAGCTGGAAGGCAAAGTCAACTGGGGGCACCGTTCACATTGTTGTCTATGTGAGTGGTGTCAATTGGAACCCAACTTCACAGAAGTCAAGATGAAGGATACCTTGAGATTGCATGTTCCTGAGTTTACACTTTGCCAACTAAGAATAGCTATGCCAGCTCTCAGGTGTTGAACAGGGTTGTTGTGAAGACCAGGGATTATGCTCGGAAAGGGGCTGGTGAACACAGGCATGTGGTATGGCATTATTATAGGATTAGGAGACAGCCTAGCAGTGAACAGTATCCTCTCCCAGAGGCCCTGTGCACTGTGAGATGTTCCTGCCTCATTCTTTGGCCCTTGGCAGCCACAGAGGGTGTTAGACACCTTGGCAGTGGGCTGGGCCCTTGAGGGGGTTTCAATCTATTTGGGGGATTGCAGCTGACTGGCCAAGAGCTCTTGAATGGAATCTCTTCCCCAGGCTGGTTTTCCAGTATCTGCCTAGAGCAAATGACCCCTTACAGGGTGCCTTCAATGCCAAAAACACTTATTAAGCACCTACTCTATGCTAGGTATAGAGTGGAGAGGTGAGTGCCCAGGTAGATATGATAGCCCCCAGCCCCAAGATGGTTTTAGAAGAGTTAGCTGTGGTGGTGGAGTAAAGGGAGCAGCAGGTCATAGTGTGCGGGCACAAGTGCGTGCAAACACTCACTCCCACTTGACAGTTGAGCTCAAGGGGGCCTTGCTTCTCACAGAACCCTCAAGCAGGGGACAAGGAACTCCACCAGTCACCTCTGGAATTCAGGCTCTTCTCTGCAGGTGAGGGTCCCACCCTGCCGGAAACAGTCTCTTGCTGCCTCTCATCCTTTTCAACTGGCCCTGTTGATTGCAATTTTGCAGCTTCCAATCCTGGAGTGGATCAAAGGATTCCCATAAAAGAGAGAGCAGCTCACCTGCCATGCCCCTCAGCCCCTCTTCCACATCAGCATGGGTGGAGCAGCAGACCCTCTGCTCAGATTGTCTGGAATCCCTAGCTTCAAGCTCGGGGCTGGTGAGGTGCTCAAGAGATAGGAGTTGAATGAATGGATGAGAGAATAATGAAGTCTTTCCATGGAAGGTGGCCACACGCCATGCTCACTCTGAGAAGATGTTCAGAGGTCCACAGCTGATCACAACAGGTCGCCAGCACTCTCCTTTCCCACCAGACACCCCTATTCCTGACCCTTTCTCATGCATTCATTCATTGGACCAATATTTATGGAGTAGTTCTTCCGAACTTGCCATTGTGTCCTGGACTGGGGACACAAGCCTGGGGCTTTTCACACCTCACCTTGCCCCCTTCACACTCTGACCCCTTCCTTGGCCACCACACACACTCCCAGGCACTGTTGCTCCCTCTTTCTGTCTTTCACACGGGGCTCCCGTGTTTGAACTTCTTTGACCCTGTCAAACTGCACGGTAGTTGAGGGGAGGCGTGCTCTTGGCTCTGGACTGTACCCTCAGCCCATTGTCCCACCCCAGCCCCAGGGGCATGACCCAGGCAGGTGCTGCCCAGAGTCCCAAGCCACCCTGCCTCCTGTGACAGCCTGGAACCTAGTTGTCATCTCAGCCCCTGGGGCACCTGCTCTGGGGCATCCTGCAGAGCCCACCCACTGACTGGCCCCTAGTGCCCCGGCCCCTCGGTGCTGCCTGCTGCAGGAGCTGCCAGCTTTTTGGAATTCCTAATCGCTCCTGGCCCCGGTGATTGGCTGCTCAGCTCTGACCCCACTTGGGCTGCCGCCTGGTTGGATAAAAGGGGAATCTCCTTGGGGCTCCAGAGCATTAGACACCGGAGGGGGCACCTGGGACCAACTTCGGGAAGCGGGGAGCCCGGCGGGGGGTGGGGGGAGAAACAGACCTGCGGCCTCGGCCCCTCCAGCGAGCCAGGAGATGACGGGAAAAGCGGGGGAAGCGCTCAGCAAACCCAAACCCGAGACAGTGGCCAAGAGTACCTCGGGGGGCGCCCCGGCCAGGTGCACCGGGTTCGGCATCCAGGAGATCCTAGGCTTGAACAAGGAGCCCCCCAGTTCCCACCCTCGGGCCGCCCTCGACGGCCTGGCCCCCGGGCACTTGCTGGCGGCGCGCTCGGTGCTCAGTCCCGCAGGAGTGGGCGGCATGGGGCTGCTGGGGCCGGGAGGGCTCCCCGGCTTCTACGCGCAGCCCACCTTCCTGGAAGTGCTGTCCGACCCGCAGAACGTCCACTTGCAGCCTCTGGGCAGAGCGTCGGGGCCGCTGGACACCAGCCAGACGGCCAGCTCGGGTAGGTGAGGGCGAGGCTGCGAGGCTGGCTGGCTGGGCACGGGAACCGGGAGCTGTCGGCTCTCGCCGCGCCGCAAGGCCTCCACCCCGCGCAAAAGTTGGTGACCGGCCGAGGGATCGCGGCCAGGGCCCGGGCTGGCCCGCTCGGGGCTGGGGCGGATGCTCCAGGCGCCCGCGGGATTCGGCCCCAGCGTCTCCCGCTGCCCTGCAGGGCGCCGGCCCCCGCGCCAGGCCCAACTCCGCCGCGGCGCCGGGGTGGGGCCCCACCGTAAGCCGGACTTGGGGTGCCACGCCACGGGGCGGGCTGGGGAGCCGCAGTTCTGCTGTTCTGCTGCGGCCCCGGCCTCGAAAGGACCTGCGTGCGCTCCGGGAGCGGGAGGGATGCTGCCCCGCGGGCTGGCGGCCGGGAAGCGGGTGCTTCGGCCCCAGCCCTGGTGTCCAAAGTTGTCCTTTCCTCCCTGCTTCTCCCTTCCCACCCCCGGCCCTGCCCGGCACGGACCGCCTGGGGTTCTTCTCGCCCCGCGATCCTGGACGCCGCAGCAGTGCAAGCGGCCGCCGTCCGATCCCTCCTAAGCGCCACGATGGATCGGACCTCGCGCCTCCCCGAGTCTGGGGGCCCCTGGGTCACCCCGCCGCGCCCTCCCAGGGCCGCTTTCCGGGCTGTGCGTCCCCGCCCGCCCGGCCGCCTGGCTCTTGCTTGCACTGGGCAATTCCCCTCATATTTCGTTATGGATTTATTTGTTCATTTTTGTTTGGGGGGCCCCGGAGAGCGGCGCGCCGCGGTCTGTCCAGTCGCAAGCGGGGCGCCCGGGGCCGGCTTTGGTCCGGCGCTCGCCCGGGAGGCCCGAGCGCTCCCCCTGCGCGCACCTGGCGACGCCCGGGCCCCCTCCAGGCCAACTTTCCCCGCGGCGCCGGGGCTGAGGGCGGAGTTCCGAGCGCGCCCCGGGTCTCCGCGGCCCCTGGGGCGGCCGCGCTCCCCCTCGGGGCCGGCTCCCGGCGCGCGGGGCCTTTGCCTCTCTGCAACGAAATCTGCTCCAAAGCGCTCGGTCCCGACGCCGGGGCGGGTAGAGCCGGCCGAGCTTCAGGGACGGGGCCGACCCCTCAGAGGGCTTCTCGGGGGGCAGAGCCGGCCCCCTCCGCTCCCGGGGGCGGCCCGGGGTGGGGCCCTCGCGGGCTCCCGGCTCCTGACGCACCGGGGCGCCGCGGAACGCGCCCCCCATTCTGCCGCATGTGCCTCCGCCCGCTTTTCAGATTCTGAAGATGTGTCCTCCAGCGACCGAAAAATGTCCAAATCGGCTTTAAACCAGACCAAGAAACGGAAGAAACGGCGGCACAGGTAAGGTCCTTGCGGCGCTTTCGGGTCCCTCCCCTGCGCCCCACCCCCTGCCGCTGCTGTGCGAGCGTCGGGGGCTCGAACCCCCGCACCCCCCCCTTTTTTTTTCTTTTTTTTTGGCAACTCCGGATCTGAGGGTCGAGACTGCCCGGGAAGGGCGACCAGGCGTTGTTTGCGAAGCCCAGCCCGGCTCCTGGCCCCGGGCCGCGCGCAGGGAGGAAGCTGTGTGGCCGCGCCGGGGAAGCGGCTGCGTTTTAGGCTCTTCCCTCCTTCCTCGCGAGCAAGAAAAGGCCCCAAGCCGGGCCCAACCCGCGCGAGGGGAGCTGGCGGGCCCCAGACGCGATCCCTGCGGCCACACTTTGGGGGAACCACGCGCACCTCCCGGCGGCCGCCCCGGCCCCCGCCTCCCTCGCGGGCGCTCGGCCTCGGGCCGCGCCGGTCTCCTGCGGTCCCCGCCGGCCCTGCCAGCCCCCCAGCCCCCCATTCCCTGCGCGCCCAGTGTCGGGAGTGTGACCGTGTGACATCGGCATCCAGGGATTTTTTCCTTTTGGCTTCTGCTCTTTTGTGATCCGGAGAAGGTTGCTTCCCTTCTGCGAGCCTCAGTTTCCTTGTCTGCAAAATGGGGAGTGGGCGCGAGGGAGCGCGCGGGCCGGGCGCGCGAGGCTGCCCCGGGATACAGACCACACAGGATTTGGTTTCTTTAATTTAAATAAAAGCCTTTAAATAGACATTACTTGCACTACTACATTTCAATGGGTGCCGAAAGGTGTATCTGGAAAAGGAACCCCCCATCCCAGGCCCTGCTTTCCTTGGGCATCAGCGCCACGACTACCGAGTCCTCGTGTAAAATCATGAGGTGGTTTTTAAGGAATAAGAGAGTGGGAACCAAAAATCGGCCTGATTTTCCGAAACTGCTGCTTTCAAGCGCGGTCGCTGAGCTCAGCCCTGGGTCTGTTTCTCCAAATCTCCCTCCCCGCCCGCCCGCCGGGGCCTCCCGCGCGCTCTCGGACTTGTCCCCACTGGTGAGCTCTGCGGCTCCTCACCCCACTTCATCTTCTTTCCCCCAATTTATTCTCGGCTCCTTCGCCCCCCCTTTTCTCCACTCTTTTCTGCGTTTTCTTCCTTCTTAGCTAGAGACTCCGATATCGACTCCCCACCTTTCCAAAAGGCACTTCTGACTTCCAGGCCCCAAGAGGCCCCTCCTGGATGAGAAAGAACTTGGACTTTGGTCGTTCCCCTCCCGCAGCTATTTGTTCTTGTTTGGTTTGGTTTTATTTTTAAAAAAAATTATTTAGGCATACAAGATCTGGGGTACAGGCCAGAGGTGCCGGGGAGGGTGAGAGAATTCACCAGAGACAGAGTGGGGAGCAGAACAGGGGGACTGACTGAAATCCGTTGCTGAGGGGACCAGCCGGGAGACAGGAGAGGTCTGCCTGCCATGTGGGTTGCTCCCTGGTGGGCCAGGATCGAACTTGTGCCGCAGAGGCTGCGAATAGCTTCATAGGTTGTGTCTTAACCCCGTTGTGCCACCAGGGAGGCCCAGGTTTGGTTTTATTTTTAAATGGGAACATTGGTTTTAGTCCTATCTTGCATCTCTCCTTTTTGTCTTTTACATTCATTCATCCAACAAATATTCAGTAAATTATACCCCTATCCCATGCTGGTCCCAGGTTGGGTAATTTTCACAGCTTCCTGGAGCAGTTCAGGGACCCCTCTGAGTTGGGGAGCAGCTGGGAGTCTGGCTGGTCTGCTTTTACTTTGGTGCTTGGATGGGGGGTGAGGTTTCCCAGCATAGGGAGCCCTGAGAAAAACACCCCGCAAACTCCGGTACTGAACAGTATTTCCACATCAGGACATTCTTTGATGGCTGGTGCGTAGCACCACGTCCGTGCCTGCAGTTCCTGACCCTCTGTCCTCACCCCACCCTCTCCACCAGGGAAACCCTGGGGAGGATACCAGGGGACACGAGACATCAACCCCCACCTGCCCTCAGTTTCTGGCTATTTCTATGCACAGAGGGAAAAGATTGAAATTATTGGGAAGCGGAGAATGGCCACTGATTACAGTTTTTAACTAGTGAAAAAAATGTGTTTTCCTGAGCTGTTTTCATTTAGGGGTTTCAGGTAAAAGATCTCCAAATCTGGTGGTGGGAGAGGGCCTTTTCGCCACCTCCCAGAAATATGCTGGGCTTAGCAGGGGTTAGAGAGGGGATGGAGTGGCAGCTTGGGAGTCTCTCCCTCTCCCCTCGTCTCTTTTCTCTGCCGGAAAGGCTCAGAGCCTCTGCACACTGGACATAACGGCTACTCAAAGGGGCTGAGTTCTGCATAAAGCCAGGAGCCGGGTTTGGGGCACATTGTGGGTATAGAGTCCCTGTTGGCATCAGAGCACCAACATTCGCTGTGAAAAAGGAATGAAGAGGAGTTTGGGGGGCTGTTTGTTCTTGGTTTTGTTTTTGTCTTTATTGGGAGCCCTCCCGAGCGGAGACTGGCACCGACATGCCCTACCATCTGCCCTCCTCTTTGGCTTTGGCCAAGCAGTTGCACCTGTGTGGCTCAGTTTCCCTCGTTTTGAAAAGGACTTGCATGTGTTGGTTGTTTATTTTGACGATCTGTTCAGGGACTCCCCAGTAAGTGGCAAGAGAGGAATCGAAAGGAGCACATCTTCCAAATTCTGAAGAATTAACTTTCTGTGTACACAAGCATTGTATGTCCCCCAAGAGAAAAGGAGAAACGATTTAGAATCCAACCAGTCGTTTTCTATAAAGAGCTGAATCTCTCTTCCTCACACACTTCTTGCTTCATCCCCCAAGATATTAAAGTTGACATCAGCACAAGGATTTTGCAGGGTTTACCTTCATCCTTTTCCCTTGTGCTGGGTGAGGGCAGCAGGGAGGGATTCTAAGTCCTGTGCTGGTCCGAGGGTTCAAATCCCAGAGGAACAAGCTGGGAACATACCCAGCAAGGACGGTGCCTGCTGGACTACGCTGCCGGCTTGCAGAGGAGGGTGCAGGGTACCGCTCACCTGGAACTTAGTGAAATTAAGGTCTGAGAAGAGAATTCACATGTGTAAGTGGATATGTAGTGGTTTAGGCAAGAAAAAGTGTCTATGAACCCAATTGTGGAGGCAAAATTTTATGTTGGAATGCTCCAACACAATTCATTTGCACGTTTTCCCAGGGTGAGAGCATGTAGCTTTTACCAGATTCTTAATGCAGTTTGTGATCCCCCACAGGTCACTGTGAGAGGTCGGGGCTGTGTGGACAGGCTTTCTGGAGCAGACCGGAATGGGATTCCCCTGTATGGGACCTCCAAACCCCTCATGGCTGAGTGTGTGTGTGTGTGTGTGTGTGTGTGTGTTGTGGGAGGTGGGAGGTGGCCTTTACCTTGTGAGCTCAGAAGTGGGGGAGGGGTTCTGAGTGCAGCTCTGAGAGGTGGGGCCGGGACAGGGCAGCTGAGGAGGGTGGAGTGTTGAGGAGGTTTCAGGGAGTGGGAGACTCCGCTTCCCGCTGCAGACACTGGGGGGGCAGGTGCACAGAGCATCTAGTGAGGCTTCAAACTCTGAGTGCGGTTTGCAAGATCAAGTGTGCTGCGTGCGAGCGGAGTCCGGGAGCAGAGCTGGTGGGGCTCAGACGTTTATTTGTCTAGGGAGTCCCTTACTCCTTGCTGGGGTCATGGAACAAGGGACTTTCTGCAGTTTTCTAAAGTTTCTGGTTTTTTTTGTTTGTTTTTTTTTTAAGATTTATTTATTTATCTATACAAGCACTGGGTACAGTCAGAAGCGCGGGAGGGTGAGAGAATTCACCAGAGCCAGAGCAGAACAGGCAGAAGGCCCGAAGTACACTGCTGAGGGGAGCAGCGGGCGGCAGGAGAGGTCTGCGTGCCACGTGGGACCCTCCTCCGGTGGCCAGGGAGCAGCCAGGGATCGAACTGGCGCCGCAGAGGCCGTGGGCAGCTTCGCAACCCAGCACTCAACCGCTGCGCCACCAGGGAGGCCCTAAAGTTTCTGTTTTAACACCCTTTCCCCAAAAGCACCTCCAGAAAGATTTGCCATGTGAACAGTCCCTGAGCACTGACGCCCCCAGCCACCAGCAGGGCACCTCTGCTTAACCCTCAGTCATAAAAAGAGGAGTTCAGAGGGCTGAGCTGTGCGTGTGAGTGTGTGTTTGTGTATCTGTGTGTGTTCATTGTGCTGAGCCAATGGTTTGTGCTGTCCGGGAGGCGCAGGAAAGGGCCATTCCGTCCTCTCTGGAGCAGATTCTTTCTGTTTCTGGATCCTGAGTGTCTGATTTTTCTCCTCTCAGGACAATCTTTACCTCCTACCAGCTGGAGGAGCTGGAGAAAGCGTTCAACGAGGCCCACTACCCAGATGTCTATGCCCGCGAGATGCTGGCCATGAAAACCGAGCTGCCGGAAGACAGGATACAGGTAGCAGAGGAGTTTTCTTGCTGGGCATTACCTCTCAGGGACACCTCCGGGCTCCCAGCCGCTGCTGTGGACACCATGTCCTCACACAGAATAGTTGATTTAAGCTGACAGGAATCTGCTGGACACCGGCTGAGTGAGGGGTTGCTGTTGGGGCGAGAGGTCTAGCAGCCTGGGCTGGCCTGTGGCTCCATATGAGCTTCCTGAGCAGGATGTCAGGCAGACCCCAGGGCCTGTGTGGGAGGAGCTCTGGGCAGGTGCTGGCTTCTGGGCAAGGTCTCTGTTGCAGAGATGTCCCCTGGGTACTCCAAGACCAGAGGGCCCAGGCCTTTCTGGGTGGCTGAGGGGTGGGCTGGGGGTTGGTGTTTCCAACTCTGCCCGAGTCTGGTTCCCTTCCTTTCACTCACCTACCTCCTACTTCCTCTCCCCTCCCCATCACCCAAGACTTGCTTCTCTCACAACCAATCAGCTGATCCTGCCCTGAGCGCTGATTGCTTTTCACCCCCACCTCACGCCAGGATGTGGCCAGTACCTGTGGCTGCAGGTGTAGCTCAGTGAGCCACTCCTCCTTCTCCCTTCCTCCTACTCCTTTTCCTCCGCTTTCTTCCCTCCTCAGCCCTCCCCTCCCCATCAGCTTCCCCCCTCCTCCCTTCCCCCTCTCCTGGAGGGTTCCCTGCTTAACCAGCCTCGATGGAGACTGGGCTGTGCTCAGCGGTGGTGGGTATGGAGTCTCCTTTCATCAGCAGCAGGACCTCCCCAAGTTCAGAACCCCCCTAACTGGGCAGGAAGGGAGCTACTTAATTATTCCTCTGGTAAAAGATGAAGTCTGATGATTTTCTAACAGGACCCCCATGAGGTGGAAGGAGTAATGGGGGGAAAGAACATTCCAGAAAAATTGGAGTTTCTAAGCTTAGTTGGATCAAAACTTTTAATGAAATATAGACCCATCAGCTGATTAGCCCAGAGTAGTTCACAGCTGAGCCTGGGAAATGGGTGGAAGCTTCGTACTTCGTGAAATCCCTTCTGTCCCCTGTTCAGATCAAAACCTTTTACGTTTCCGGGTGTGATAGGACACGTACTGGGGGGAATCCTGATAGGCCTAGAGGAGGAACCAAATAAGATGTGTGGGTTGTTCTGCCTTCTCTCACTAGAGACCCAGAGAATGGAAAATGGGGCATGAGTTGCTTTTCTAGAAGAGCTTTCCTCTCCCCTGGAAATCTATTTGGAATTCCAGCTAATGGCTTTAGACCTTGACACTAACCATAAGCTCAATTATTCGTAAGCAGATTATGTGTTTGATGCATTATCCATGGCAGCCTGGCCCCATCTTCCCCCACCCATTTGGGTTCCAGTGGGGTAAGGTTGGGTGCTGACTTGGAATCCGGAACGGGGTGTGTGTGTGTGTGTGTGTGTGTGTGAGAGAGAGAGAGAGAGAGAGAGAGAGAGAGAGAGTGCGAAGATCCTATCCATGGTAGGATCAAACTCCCACTGTTAGGAGGACCCGCCTGTGCACTGAGAAGGAGCAGCTTGTGTCTTGCAGTGGGTTGTCCTGTCAACCCGCTATGGTTGGGGTGGGTGCCCCCGCAGGTGGAGGCTTCTTTAGTGGCCTGGAGGGTGTCTACAGGGTGGTGTCTGAAGCCACCAGAGCCAGCTAGGAGGAGCCAGGGTGCCGACAAAGTTAATTGCCCTGACACTATGAGGACTGACTGTGGTTTTGTTTCTATGGGCCCACTAAGGTGGACTTTCTGGAGCTGTTTGTGCGCGCAGGGTTCTTGGGTAAATACTGCCCCCAGGAGGTGACTGCAACTGTCAAATAGTCCTGCACCAAAATGTTTTACCAGGTGGCCTGGGGAAGAGCTTAGCATGTGTCGATAATCATCATAGCTAAAACTGACAGAGTGGTTTCCGTGTGCCAGGTGTTCTAACAGGAGATGTGCTCAGGAGAGGCAGGGAGTGCAGTGGTTAGGGGCATGGACTTTGGAGCCAGACACATCCTGATTTTACCAGTTTCCAGCAGACCATGGGCAAGTGCCTCACCCCCACGGCCTCCGACTCCCCATCTGTAAGATAGGGGTGATCGTGGCACCTGCGGATGTGATGAACCATGTGCAGTGTATTCCGAGGCTACCTGGCCCGCGCATGGTTTCAGCTCTGATTTCATTAACTCGTGGTGACAACTTGTGGGGTAGAGGCCATTAACCTCCTTTTGTAACTGAGGAACTGAGGCAGAGCGACTGCCCCAAGACCACACAGCTATAGGTGGGGCACACAGGGCTCGAGCCCAGCTCTGCCTCTCAAGCCCACAGGCTCCACAACTGTCATAAAAAATAATCTGCTTTGACTTGCAGTGGGGGAAACAGATGATTTGAGGTCACATGAGGGGGTCTGCACCAAGGCTTTATACAAAAATCAATATTTATAGAGTACCAGGCACTATTCTAAAAATCAAAAACTAGTCATAAAAAATTATTTTGGGGGCCTTCCTGATGGCATAAGGGATTAAGACGCAACTGTGAAGCTATCCTCAGCCACTGCAGCATGGAGTTCAATACCCGGCCAGGGAGGTGACCCACATGGCGCGGCAGACCTCTCCTGTCTCCCTGCTGCTCCCCTCAGCAGTGTGTATTTCAGTAGATCTGCCTGTTCTGTTCCCCACTCTGTCTCTGCTGAATCCTCTCACCCCTCTGCACCTGTGGCCAGTACCCCAGTTCTTGTATGCATAAATAAATAAATCTTTAAAAAAATTATTTTTTGAATGGGAAAATCCATGTATGTGAGTTCCAAAGGGTGAAATACTCCCTGCCAGCATCCCCACGGTGGTAACCAGGTTCTGTTGTTTCCTTTTAGAGGAGTTTATGTACACTCCCCAGGGACCCTAGGGGACCCTGTGAGTGTCTGTTGCTACTCCCCTTTGACAGAAAGGCAATCTGAAGGACGGGGTACAGAACTCAGACCTCCCCCCACCTTTCCACTCCGGAACACTTGTGTCACTACACGGCCCCCCTTCCAACCAGAGCTCTGCGTGGAAAATGGAAACCAGTCCCTGTCCTACCTTCAGTCAGAGGCCTGCCTGTGAGTGGGCAGAGCAGGACTAGGAGGGTGTTATCAGAGGCTCTGTTCCAGGGTTAGACACCCTCAAGGAGCAGCAGAGAGGTCACTGACTGGATGTCAGGGACCTGGCCTCACTTCCGGCTCTGACACCCAGCAGGCCGGTCAGAAGCCAGGTCACCTCCCATCTCTCAGCCTCCTTATCTGTAAAGGAAGTCAAGGGATCTCTCCCAGGGAGGGCCTCCTGAAGGTCACCTTCATCTCCAGGACCTGGGCTGCCATTGGTGAAATGGGGCGGGGGAGAGGGGCAGGAAGGTTGCCTTTAGCAGTCCCGGGGCACACACCTCTTGTCCATTCCAGGTAGCCACATGAGTATGTCTGTAGCCTCCAAGCTACTGTCGGATGAGAACCCAGGGCGGGCATGCTGGCTCACACACCTCCTCATTGCTCCAAGTCAGCAAGCCAAACTCTGAGCCTCAGACGGCTGACTTGTAAGCTAATAGTATTTTTCTGGAAGACTAACTTAATGAAAGTACTGTTATTATTAAGTTCTTTCCGTGGTCCCAGATATTAAGAGCATTCTACACCTTGTTTCATTAAACCTTCTCAACACCTGGGTGAGTCAGAGGCCATTCTCGCCACATTTCCTGAATGCGGGAACTGAGGGGCCGAGAGTGCGTTGAGCAGCTGAGGTTGAAACCCAGCACTCAGCGATGTCACGCGAGGGACCCGTGAATGACCCGTGAAGGCCTGTGTGGGTCAATTGGAGTAGCCAATGCCTGGGGCAGTGCTGACAAGGCCAGTGCCTGGTTGTGGCCATTTACTGTCTTTGTGCTTGGAGTGTTGGCCCGTCCTCACGCCACTCTCTGCAGGTTGGGGTGGAGGGACACAGAGCGTTGTCAGCGAAGAGATTCTGAATCTCATATCAGATTCAAACACACTGGTTTTTTTCTGTCTCCAAAAAATGCTGGGTTATGACATGTTGGGGCGCTGGGGAGGGTGCTGCCCCCTAGTGGACAGAGGCGGCAGCAGCCGCGGGGTTTCTGTGAGCCTGAAGCTGGGGGTGCTGCGGGAGGAGCGTGGACAGTGTCAGAGCACTGAGTAGGCTTGGAGTGTGACGTCCTTAAATAACACCCGCAATGAGCCCAAATTAATCAGCTCCCAGACAGGGGCAGGAAAGAAGCTGGGTGAAGGTGATGGAAACCGCCACGTGGCCAGCCGAGCCAGGCCTACTGGCAAGGGACAAGATTGGAGGGCAGGGCCCCAGGGAGCCAAGTGCCCAGAATGTCCATGGAGCATCTGTCATGTGGATGGCTTCCTGCGTGGGTGGTTCTGGGGTGATTGCAGAGGGTCTCCTGGGAGGCCTCTGAGGGCAGGAGCTCTGGGCATGTTGTCCCGTGGGGGCCCAGGGAGCTGCTGGCGAGACAGGAGCTGTGTGAGGACAAGAGACACCCTGGACACGGCCATGGTTGCTTGTGCTGCTCACCCACTCGTGAAGGAAAGAGCCAAGGCAGTGGCTTGGTTGTCCATGCGTGCCCTGTAGCAGAAGGGTACCCACTTGGCAAGAAGCCCTTCCCCGAGTGCTGTCCACCCTCAGAGGGACAGGGTCTCAGGATCTTCTCTGCCTTGCCAGGCCAGATATGACAGCTAGAGACATCCTACCTGAGCTCTCAGGGACTCCCCCCAAGGGAGAATGCTCGGGGAAACCCAGTCTCCTTCCTGAGCTGGAAGGTGGGTCCCTCTCCTTTGCCTCGGACTCCAAACCTGGTGGCCCTTGGTCACTCAGGGCCCCTTCTCAGGCAATCAGAGGCTGTAAGTCAGGGCTGTGGGCCCGCCTGGGGCCTTGACTCAGGCTTTCTGGAAGGGGCCCAGACCTGACTCCCCTGTGAGGGGAGCAGTGTCTTCTAGAAAGTGGACAGTCAGGAGAGAGAGAGGGACTGAGGGAACATTGTGGG